CGGCGCGGCGGCGGAGAATCCCGCAGAGTGGCGGTCGCCCCCACCAATGGGAGCCAAGCCCCTGGACGCGGCAGCCAATCAGCAACAAGAAGGGCGAGGTCTCGGAGTACCCTCCACGCCGGGGGTCCGCGCGGTCCTAGAGCTGGCTTCGTGCTTCCCGGGGTTCGCGGGGCCCTGGGCCGAGGTGGGTCCATCCACACTGCCCAACAGGTCCGGGGGGACAAAGAGAGAAATGGGCACCCTGGCCGCCCAGCCAGACTCCCGTCTCCAAGCCCGACCATCCCAGCTCGCCCGCAGCTTGAGGAAGTCCGACGCCAGCCGGGGAGGATAGGGTGCGTTGTGGGGGACACTTGGGTGGGGACAGAGTCGGAGCCCGCCTCGAGGACCGCTGACTTCCTGGCCCGGAGACCCAATGGGACGCAGCGAGGATGCACTCGCACTAATTAATTAGCGATTAGGGATAATAATGGGGCTCCGCTTTGTAACACCAGCTGGGCTTTTAACGAGCCAGGCGGTGCCAAGCGCCCCACGTGGCCGGGGCGACCTCACCCCCGGGTTTCTGGTCTGTGAGTCAGGGCCTGCGGGTAGTAAGGTGTGCGGCTTTTCCGCCTCATGGCCCTACAGGGGATGGGCCAGCGGACCGGCCAGGCTGAGCCCTCCCACCACCAGGCCTCCCCATGCGGGACGTTGAAGCTGTCGATCTAGAGCAGGAATCCTAAAGTCCCGATCCAGCCTCACCCTCTCCCAGCCATCCTACCTGGGACAAGTCCCTTCAGGGCACAGTCTTCCTGGCTGTACAATGGGTACAGTGCGTGTTTTAAAAAATGTAACAGGGCCGGGGATTTGGCTCAGTGGTTCCGCCGCCTGCCTCACAAGAGCAAGGGCCCAAATTAGGATCCCGGTACTAAAAAAAAAAAAAAAAGTTACAGAACTGGAGAGGTGTGGTGGTGCAGGCCTATAATCCCAACACTCTGGAAGGCTGAGGCAAGAGGGGTGTCAAATTTCTAGACCAGCTTGACTCAAAGTTTAAAAAAAAAAAAAAGCGAGGTATGGAGTGGGTATGCCTGTCATCTCAGCACTTAGGAGGCTGAGGCAGGAGGATCACCAAAAGTTCAAGGCCAGTCTGGACTACATATTGAGTTCAAGGGCAGCCTGAGCTACATAGTGAGACCTTGCCTCAAAAAAGCCAAAAATATATGAAATAATAATCATGATTGTAATAAAACCTAAACAAAGGGAGGCCTGGGGATGTAGCTCTGTGTGGGGGGCCTGGTTTCTAAACCCCACTACTGGAGGAAAAA